GTTGCATTTGGAGTCCATTTCATGATTCGATAATTGTGCATATCAAGAATATAAATATTTGAATTGCTATCAATGTCAATTGCTGTTGGATGTTCTAAATCAGTAAATGCATTTGTTCTGCCTGGACCTCCAGCAACAGTTGTACCGATGTTAGAATTCGGAGGAAAGCGTTGTACACGATGATTTTGATAATCAACTACATACATATATCCATTTTTGTCGAAAACAAGGTCTATAGGTGAATTAAGCAATGTCGAAGTTTGACCTGAAGTACCACCACTATTGCCAGCGACTGTTACGCCACTTGTTGCCCCGTTGTCCCATTTTTGAATCCGATTGTTATCGTAGTCACAAATATATAATGTACCATTTCCATCGATATACAAACAGGTTGGATTTGTAAATTGATTACCATTGGTACCCTGTGTAGTTCCGGCAACAACCGTACCTATTTGATTCCATTGAAGATTGGGACCTAAAATAATCGATAACACATTACAGACGCAATAATTTAGCATTAAATCACTAACAAGAATTAAATATTGTTGCTCAATAGGAAAAAAAACAAAGATCATTATTGATTATTAATTCAACTTGAAAAAATAGTTGAGAGAACTGTTTTAGTTGATTTTATGATGTACGTTTCATGATTTATTATGAAAGAAATGCACTTATTCTTCTTACTTGTTACTGAAGTAGTAGTTGTTGAAGTAGTGGTTGTCGATGTGCTGGTGCTCGAAGTTGTTGATGTCGTCGCTTCAATAAGATAAAAGCATATTCAAACTATGATTTCACTTCACAATATACTAATCCTTACATGTGACTGTTGTTGTCGTTGTTGTTGTTGTGGTTGTTGTCGTTGTTGTTGTTGTGGTTGTTGTTGTCGTCGTTGTCGTTGTTGTTGTCGATGTTGTTGCTGTTGATGTTGTCGTCGTTGTTGTTGACGATGTTGTTGCCGTTGTTGTTGTCGATGTTGTTGTTGTGATTGTTATTGTTGTCGTCGTTGTGGTCGTCACTAGAAATATTAAACGTCATATAGCTTGGTTAGGTGATATTCGACCGTTATCGTCAATCTAAGGTATTCGTATTCCTTTGCCAAGGTATCTTACTCTACTGAACTTGAGATTATGTTATAAAACCATCATAAATGCAGCTCTTAATGAGATGAAAATGCATAATTCGAATTCGATCGTCCTTAACAGTAGTGAAGAGATTTTAGAGATGTGAAAATATCTTTCAAACAAAAATGACTACAGCTGCAATCAACTACGTCTAGGCCTATGTTTTTATTGTAAATATTTTCTAAATTCTCTGTATGTCATGGTACTCTTCGTTCTTCGTCCATGTTTACTGTATTGTTGTGAGTTATGTGTGTTTCCAATGCATTTTTCTTAGTCTTCGCTCGTTGGATTTCGATGAAATGCCCGCCGTGACTCGGTTGCTACTGCGCATCACAATATGTGATCATGGTGTCGAAGTGTTTTCTGAATTGAGAGAACTCCTGTTACCGATTCATATAGGTTCACGTCAATGATTTCAGCCCCAAGATACTTCGAGAGCCTGAAGTAAATGGCATAGTCTCTAGTCGGTTCCAATCAGTTCCCGTTTTCATCATCCCGGAAACAATCAGTAACAGTGATTCAATGACAGATGCTCATGGAGCACTTACTCCTCAGAGACACTTGCTACACGGGCAGTTGCAACCACGGCACTTGTTCTCCATACAGGATTGCTTCGCAACGATTTGTGGGTATCGAGTATATGGTCGGTTGATTTGAGTCTGATTGTAGATAGGGATGCAACGGTACAGTAGTGTACCATTCATCGGTGCACTGACTGTGGAGAACGGATGACACCCACATCCACCTCGCACAATCACATACACACTCACTCATCCAAATCTTAGAACGGTAATACAAGTAAATTAAACAGCTGTTAGCACAATCCCTGCGGGATTAAAATGTGAAACATGATGTAGCTGCTCCTAGTAATCACAGAGAACTTGTTTAAATCTATCTATTTTGCAACATATTTCAAAATTATCTGTTTAATTACTTCTCCAGAACAGGAATTAGTTCATATATTATAAAAAGATGTTATTGATGTACAGTCTTTGATCGTATATCAATAATCACTTTCACACGCTATGGCGGAGTTCCAAGATGTCTGTCACAGTCTGTAGAGGTAGGGGGGGGGGGGGGGATCCAGACTTTTATCCCTATGTGCTTCAACACTCATTTTAGGTCGTGTTTCACAAAAAAAACACGCAATTCTCGCGGAAAACAGGATATTACGATGAAAATCTCCTCCGAAAGTCTGTTAAAATTTGGCCTATTTTTGAAAATTCATTCATATCCTAACAGAAAAAACTTCGCTGCATCTTTCCCATAATGTAAATTCGACTTCGATTATTATGTGAAAAAAGTGCATTTTCTGTGAGGGAAGGACGAGAACCTTAATCGTTTGACTCTCTTTGATAGCAATCAAAAACTTGATTAAAATCTCTCAAAATGTCTCATACCTTATTTGTATCAGTAGCATAAGGTAAAAGATGTAAGTTCAGATCTGATTATTTTCGATGTTGTTCTGAAGAGAACGCCCAGAAGTTCCCACTCCCAATAACACCCACACCATCATCTACATGTATAATTACACCGACACCCTCAATAATGCTTGAAAATTTCGGCAAACCATATGAAAACTAGCATGGCTCGCTATCAAATTCATACATCAAAAAAATCGATTATCGTCAATAGTCTGATTTACTTCACATGTACTAGTTATTGACTATTCAAATAAGTCTCGGTGCCGCATAAACGAGTTCTCTAGGACTGATTCTACTAGAGATCATTTTCGAAGACTTTGTGAGAGAGTGGAGCATGGAACCAAAAAATTTCTAAATGGGATCAACTTATTTAGTTATTGATACACCCATTCCGTTCTTTTCTTTGTTCTGAACATACTTGTGGATACCGTTGTTAAACTTTCTGATCGTGATGTTAACCACAGTGTGAGTACAACAGCCAAAAAAATTCCACCTAGCAATAGTCCGACAATACAACATTTGCAGCATGATGATCAGAGAAAGGATCCTTTTATGTTGTCTCTACTGTTTTACATAAAATAAAGAAATAAAGACATTTGTGGATAATCTTATCATATGAAAGATACAAAAGTTTACTTTTACCTGTCGTCGTCATCATCATCTTGTGTTCTCGCTGTATTTTTGATGAAATAATCTTGTTTATGTGTGATCGGTTCTAAATCTGCTGACCATACTGAGGCTCGAAGAAAATTCGATGTTGGTCGTGATGATGATAAGCTTTGTAATTCGATCTGGTTGCTTCTTGGCATGATTGAGTCGATTTTGCTTGTATGATAAAATTATTCAACGATGTGAGCTCCCTTCAAGAATTTTGAATTTTACGGTTCAATTATATTGTATTTTTGTTGATCATATATAATTCAGAATTTTTCAATTAAGATCTCCACAAAAAAAAGAAATCTAACATATATCTTGTTTGCTCAATAATATTGATTATATGTCATCCGACACAAGTTGGTCTTCTTGTCATAGGTTTATTTTACATTAAAGAAAAAAAGAAAATGTAAATATTCTAAATAATCACTACCTTGAAGCGATATCAAGTTCGAAAATAATAAAACAATGTTTGATTTTTCTTTTAATAGAAATTCTAATCAACTCGATGAAATATAACAAAAAATATTCTTTGTGAATTATTGTGTACAAAATATAATGAATTCTTTTGATTGAAGATTTCGTTTTCTCTTTGGGTGGGGATTGATGATGGTGAATGTGAGTCTTCTCATCGTCCATACCATCTTCATCATAGTTACTGTTTAGATTCTGCATGCTTGTATGTTGTAGGAAACATTTCGAGTGATTTCGTTCGTATATTATTTATAGTGAAAACAATTTCTCTTGTTTTTCTTTAGTATTTCTATAACTCTATCAAATTATAGCCGCTGTCACAATCACATCCTTAATTATACATAATATTTACTGTTCTTTCTCTTATATTAGACATTGTCTATCTGATAAAAAATGGCAGAAAACCGCCGGTTTACCATGGTTTTACTGACCTGATTACCGGCTCCCATTGCTGCAATTAATCGCGGTAAACCGCTGGTTTTGACAAGTCCCGCGATTTACCGCTAAAAATGATCTGGTTTTTTCGGCATAGGGGTGTTTTACCAGTATGTTTTTTTTAATTTTGTGAAATACGATCTAAAAGGAGTGTTGAAGTATACAGTAAATGGGTCCCAAGATTGATCGAATAAAACAATATTCGTACGATTACTAATAACCGCTGAATCGTATTTCACACTTTAATCCTGCACGTATTACGCTAACAGCTTTTGTCCCAGTATCATTATCTTCTTCTCTTCACTGTCACGATTCCAAGTTTAATAAATGAAGTCTAAAAAAGATTTATAGCAGTAGTTCACCAGTATTACTAACCGGCAAACTATTAATGAAGGAGTGTAAGTGTGAGCGTAGGATGCAATTTTCTAGTTATTTCTTCTCTTTATCGATATATCCACACCCATACTCACATCCACACCATTGTCCAACATCATCATTACTAACAATCATTAGAAGCATGGGTTCGGATCTTAGTTCAAGCTGTGGCTGAGAAGAATATCATTCTATTACTCATGATAGTTGAGTGTTATATCATGGTTGGCTGTAGTTCATCGGTTCTATTTCAACACAGAGTGACGATTATTTTTTGATTTTCTTAAGAATAAAGTAAATGCGTC